TAAATAGAGTCCAGCATTTATTAGGGAGCATTCAGAGTGCGGTCAGCAGTGCATGCATATGCCCTTCAGGTGGGGAACACGTGGTTCTCCTACATACCTGCATCCCATGGGAGACCACACAGATCCTCTTCAGATCTCGGGCACCCCACTCATCTGGCCACCTCTGATAGATCTCCTTCACTTTCTCGATCACTTGTATTATCTCGGAGGCGTTGTGCCAAGAAATCATGGACATATCCCTTTCAGCCACGCCAGACACGTGGCAGAACATGAGTGGGTAGATTTCGGGATGGGGTGGGATGTTCCCGCTGGCTTGGATAGCATTGCCGATGTAGAAGTGCTTGGAGACAAACTCAATTATGCCTGCAGTGGATCGATAATTCTCATTGAAGATGATCCTGCTCTTCTTGGCCACGTCATGCCTCTCTTTCTGGTAAAACTGAAAGAGTCGGTTTAACAGGGTGTGATCAGCAGATTGTCCATCCCCAACACAGAACAGCTTTGGGGTGATTTGCATGTGGTCCCCAGCAAGGACAATCCGGGTCTTAAAAGTGGCGTAGGAGAGTGGAACCAAAGCTTCACACTCCAGCATCTGAGCAGCCTCGTCGATCATGATGTGGGTGAAGTAGCCTGGGGCAACCTTCAAGTTCTTGGATAACATGGAGGTGGTGATAATGATGTGGTGCTTGTCGATCTCCGCCTGTGTGGGGTGCCGGAAGGAGCGCTGGTCTGGCGAGAGGCAGCAGTACATCTGAGTGATGGGGTCCGTCATGTTGATGGGACGGTCAGTGGATATAATCCTCAAGGGAACAGCCCACGGATGCCCGCTGGTCACGTAGTGATGGAAATACTCTCGGATGTAGATGTCAGCAGCACTGGAGGGGAACAAAAGGGGAAATTACCAAGGAAGCGTAAGTGCTCTTCCCAATGCTGTGACCATCACCCCAACGCGCTATCTGATCGTTCACCAACACGCACGCAAAGTCTCCCCCAGCTTTGGCTGACAACGTGCTCATCACAGGAGACAGTCACACACGCGCAAAGAAGCTGGTGTTGACGCAGCCACCAATTCCGAGCCTATTTTGAGAGTACGGTTTAAAATAGGACTGGATGCTCGAGACCAGGGCATCTCTCGATGCTCATATGGAGAAATGCAATGTGCCCAACAAAATCCGTGGCCCTGCTTCTCTCTAGGGCCAAGTCACACAGACACGACCCAGCCCACCGCTCCTCTGACAGTTCACCGTCCCCAGGCCGGGCGGGTGATACAGGATCTGCAGAGGAAGCTTCAGTGCAACCAGCCAGCCTGAAACAGGCTAAGATTAGCAGTCACCCATCTATTATACATTAAAAACTAAGGCAGTAACAGCCTGCAGGATTGGATGTGGACACTCTTTTCAGTGTAACTGCTCTAATTTTAACAATCTTGGCCTCGTTTCTCTGAAGGCAGATTCAACGGCAGCCAGACCAGATCTGCATTTCCTCTTTCCCAAACTCTCCCTGGAAAAGTAAAAAAAAAAATTGGCGTGTGCACAGAGCACAATAGTCTTCAAGGGCAAGCAGAGCATAATATTATCCCAGCAAGGTCAGGCAACGGCTTTCTACTTCTTCCAGGACGCAGTAAAGGCTAGAAAGAACTGCATCTCCAACCCCATCCCCATTGTATAATGAAGCAGGAATATGCTGCCTCTTCCACAAAGACTTCCACCCATGCCAGGCTTCTTCCTAGCAGGAAGCGCAGCAGCAGTTCAAGACATATTAAATAAAAATGAATTTATTTAAACAAGTAATTGAAATGCATACTAAGAAAAGGGCAGCTCAGCTCCATCTCGTGCACCCTGGCTCCCGCTCACCCCACCAGGCGAGCGATGGGCCAGCGCAGGGACTCAGCCTGCGACTCTGGTTGCCTCTTCCCTCACCCCCTGCTAACCTGTTAGTGTGAGTGCAGATCAGCACCCGCGTGTTGGGCTGCCTGAGGATCTCCATGGTGGCCATGGCCAAGGTGAACGTCTTCCCTGTGCCAAAAGGCCCGTAGATGAGAAGAGGTGGGACCTGCCGGCTGCTGGTTGCCTGGCCCGTGATGAAGGAGATGGCTAGTTTCTGCTTGCTGTTCCCTTTCTGTGGTGACCCAAGAGAGTAGGGGATAGAGCAACTGGCAACATCTGGCAGGACCAGCTTCTCATCCAACAGGCAGTCCACAGCCTGGTGCCACTGCCGGAACAGCAGCTGGTCGATTTGGAACTGGATCTCCACCTTGTGGGAGGTATTTGGCTCAAAGTTCAGCTCTGAGCAGCATCTCTTTGGTATCTGTAGCCAGATGGTCTTCTCCGTGGTGGCTTTATGCTCCACACTAACCTCGTAAACCCGACGGTCTACAGGTGGGTCAAGCGCCAGGAAAGCCGTGGGCACAGACCTGCTCAGCAGATACCCCTCGTCTGTGTCCGGTGAGAGGTTATAAGGGGTAGGCACTTCAGCAAACAGCTCACCAGAGTGGGCAAACTTCATCCCCATGGACAGGCTTTGCAGCATGGGGGTCAGCGAGATGGCGACCCGCAGGTTGAGTCTGAAAGGAGGAAACACCCGAATGAACAGCAGAGAACTGGCCCATCGGTTCATCGGCAACCGCCCTCCCCGCTGCAGAGCGGGGATTGCCACCGACACCCAGCGAGGGTCCACCAGCCCCCGCAGCACACAGAGGCAGAAGCCGTGCTTCTGACTAATCCACGGCCGCAGGACAAGACCGAGCCCCGTTCCCTCCTATCGCCACCCAGCAAGCCATCTTTCTTGGCAGGTTTCCATTTTTCTGGGAAGGCTCCCCAGGACCCAACCCAGAAGAGATGGAGACTTCAATAGCAGCACAGCCCCGAGGGCAGGGTTAGCAACGGGCCTGTGGTCCATCGCGAGGAGGAACCCCTCTGGGTCCACGCCTGGCACTTACTTGGCAATCAAAGCCTGTTCGGCTTCTTCCTCGCAGAAGAGGAAGCTGTGCATCCTCTCACGGTAGTTCAGACGGGTGATGGGAACGGTCGCACCACCCTGGTGTTGGTAGTCCAGCGCAAGAGCAGGAGGTTTGTACTTGGCCAGCAGATCCACATCTTCACCGGTCCTTGGCACGCTGGGAACGATGATCCGGTTACCTCTATCCCATCGCACGAAGTCGACAAGGTGGCTGCTCTCCCTACTGCCAGGGACGTGCTGGGGGGTCTCCCGCCGGCCCACCTTCACCTTGATCTTCTGTATGAGGACGGGGCGTCTGCCGAAGTCGAACACCACCCACTGCTCGAAGACGCCCAGCGTGCAGCACTCCATGCAGACCTCCACCAGCGCGGTGGCTGGGGAGGAAGGCAGGGTGGCCACATGCTCCCCCCGAAGGTAGTGGAGGTCCCGGGAAAGCCCATTCCCCGAGAGGTAGAAGTTGACTCCAGGTTCCCGCTTCAGTAGCGCCACGTGCTGCAGAGGCATCTGCCGGTTGAGGAGAAGACATGGGCACGGTGAGGGCAGCCCATGGGAAGAGCCCAGCGGCTGATGAGGTCCTCCCAACAGCATTTCCTACCAAAAGCTGCTGCAGGAACCAAATGCCATGCTGGACCTACGGCGCACTTGAAATTCTCCTTAAAGGAGCTCATTCCTCTCACGCAACCCCACAGCAAATATTTTAAGGTTTTAAAGAACCTCAGGTTTCAGATTTATAGCAATTGAGCCAGTCTGCTGTAAATGGGAAATCTCCTATGTTGGAGAGGACAATTAGACCCAGCGTCTTGCCCCCAACACCCACGAAATCCTGGGCAGGAAAGCAGCTGAGTCTTGTTATTTGGGGTGATACGTGGGAGGCGCTGAGAGCAGCCGGGCCCACCCCAGCCCCACCGCAGGAGATGAGACAGGAGACACGGCAGCTGCACCCCTCATGCAGGGCCCCAGCTCAGGCACCGCCTGAGCTGGTCCCAAATACCCAACACACGTCCTCGTTCAGACATCCCCAAATCCCTCTCCTCCTGCCCCTTGCAGAAATAATAATTAAAAAACCCAAACAAAAAGCCCCAAAGGACAAGGACTGCGCACAGCCGCAGGCGCTGCCAGCGGCTCGCGGCCTCCTGCTGCGCAGAGCTGGGCTTACCTGGGAGTGCACCCTGAACTTCCACCGGTATTTCATCCTCCTGTCCTCCGCCTGCACGTGCAGGGGTTGCTGACACACAACTCTGACGCCCTCGACGTGCTCAGCCATCTGTGGGGGAGGCACGAGAGGAGCGGGACTGAAGGTGACACCCCAGGGACACACTGCAGAGCCCTCCGCGGGGCCATCTTCATCCTCTGCCTTTACGCTACATCCCCCCGAGAGGGGACCGTCAGTGAATCCTCACGCTCAGTCCTCACCCGCTGCTGCTCAGCATCCCCACGCAGCAGCCTTGGGAAACCAAAGGACCCACGGCAGAGCAGTGTGGCCGGGCAACCCGAGCAGGCTCTTGGGTTGCCGTCTCAAAAGGGGTGAAGGAGGGGGATGCAACATCCCTTTCTGCATCGCCAGCAGAAAGGTGAACGGTGGGCTCCATTCCCAAGCTCCTACACAAGAGGCTTCTCGCGACGCGCCGGACCAACGCGCTCCCACCCTGCCGCCCGCGACTCACAATCAACACCTCGTTGGAGCACGTCCGATACTCGGCAATGAGCCGGTCCTGGTAGGACAAGAGCCCTTCCTTCAGCGCTTGCTTCTTTTTCTTCACGGCAACCTTCACCCTCTGGATCCACTCCTGCAGCTCCTCGGGAGAATGAGCCTTGGTGCAGCTGTTCCCCATTTCGCACACGTCCGCTCTGTTGGGAGAGAGGTGTCCCTGGTGGCACGGGGGTCCACAGGGAGGCCGGCAGCTGCCTGCTGCCCCTGCCCTCTTCCCCGCTGCACCGGCTGGATGCCTTACCTGCTGCACAGCGAGAACTTGGTCAGCCCGAGGGGCGGCGCGCGGTGGACCCACTGGACAGAGGTGTCTGCCGAGAGCATCTGCATGTGCTCAATAGAGGAGCAGTGGCTCTCGAAGCTCTCCTGCGAGCTGAAGGTCACCAGGCAGACCCGGCAGTAGAAGTGCACCGGTGCAGGCGCCGCCGGCTCGCCGTTGATTCTGCAGGTCCCCGCAGCCAGCAGCAGGTCGGAGCGAACCAAGCTGTGCTCCCTCTCGGCCTCCCAGACGGCCATCTCCACGTCGCTGTGCGCGTACTGGCAGCGCTGCGGGGTGTGCTTGCAGGGCTGGCCCCTCGAGACGAACCTGCAGTAGCTGAGGCTCGGCATGAACTCGGGGCAGGGCCGGATGGCGGTGTACTGCTGCTTCCTCCGGCTGTCCGACACCACGTGCACCAGGAGGGGGTCCCAGCTCCGGTGGGACTCGCAGAGACGCCCCTGGCTGCCCACCGAGATGCGCTGGGGGCAGCCAAAGAAGCAACGTTTGCAGATCTCCTGGAACTGCCCCCCGAACTCGCTGGCGATCTCACCAGCGACGCTGGCTGTGGCATGGGGGGCGGCAGTGGGGTGACCCCCCAGCTGCGCCTGCAGCACCGCCGCCTTCAGCTGGCGCCGGTCCAGCTGCTGCTCCCTCTCAAAGTTCCAGACCATGGCCTCCTCCGGGCTCCAGGCGAAGGTGCACTGGCTCCTGTGCTTGCTGCAGCCCAGCCCCACCACATAGTACCTGCAGACGGCGTAGCGGGCCGGGTTGGGGAAGCCAGGCCGCCTGAACACCTTCCTCCAGGCTGTGCTCCGGCGGCTGCGGCAGCGGGCCAGGAGGATCTCGTACATGCACTTGTGCTCCACCTCTCGCAGGTGGTAGGTGATCTCGTTCTCCTTCACGCTGCACTTGGAGCAGACCAGGCGCAGCTCCAGCTGCTGCTGGAGGCTGCCCAGCGACACCGCTGGGCCGTTCGCCGTCGGCATCCTTGGCGGTGGCTTGAGCGGAGCAAAATTAACGGCGGGAAGTTCCTACAAGGCGATGCCAGGGGGAAGAGGCACCGTGGAGCGGCTGGGTCCTAGCTCGCTACGTACCTGCCAGCCATTGGTGCAAGTTCACAAAGCCTGACAAAGAAACGAGGAAGAAGCGACTTAGCAGGAAACATCGGCCGGTCCCTGGCTGGGTGTACGCTGAGGCACCGGCACAGCCCGGCCCCGCTCGCCAGCCAGCAGCCTGGAGCCTCACCCAGCACCCAAACCCACCAGACACCCTCGCCCTTGGGGTCTGCCCCCCACCCGCTCGCCCACCTCTGTTCACCCGCCAGCCCAGGCCCCAGGGGAGCGGGTCCTGCAGGGACCAGGCTGCCGAGCGGCGAGGGCTCCCCGCAGGGCTCAGCTCAGTCCCCATCGGCATTTACTGCCCAATGCCGGAGGGTCCGGTGCGGTCCCCATAGCAGCCATCGACCTCCTCCCGGCCCTTGCCCGGACGATCTGACTTCCTCTTCCCGCTGCCGGCGCCTCCCCCGCCTCGGTTCGCTCCTGCCAACTTTCTCTTTCTTTTTCCTGCTCTCTCCCCTGGGTCCGGCCAGGCAGCCCCACCGCCGCCCCACGCCAAGCGGGAGAAACCTGGCTCCAACCCCCCAGCCCATCTCCCTGCTGCGGCACGAAAGATTAACTGGAATTAATTAACAAAGCAACCACCCTCTTTGCTCCTCGGATGCAGCACCCACAGCCAGGAGATGGGCATGTTGGAACAGGGCCCTGCCAGCATCTCCTCCGGCCGACAGCTCGGTAAACATCCGGCTGGGAGAGCTCTGGCTCGGCGGTGAGGAAGGTGACTCACGGCTCCCTGCCCTCCCCGGCCACCGGCTCCTGCATTTGCCAGCAGTTTCCTGGGTAACCAGAGGCCAGGAGCATCCCTAGGAATGATGCTGCAGGGTTTCTTGGCTGGGCTACGCAGCTCGGGGCGAAGGGAGCACGCCGGGCTGGATCTGCGGGCAGGGTGCGCTGCCAAGCAAAGCCGCCAGCCTCGTGCCGAGCATCCGCCTCGGGCTGCTGACCCGCAGCCACGAAGGACCGGCGCTCCAGCGGTACAGGGGCAGAGCGGTATTTACGGCTGCGGTCTGGCAGACAATGGAACGGGGGGGCAAACTTTGTGCTGCTTCTGCAGAAACACTTTTCACTTTTAATTAAGACTCCTTTCCCCCACCTCTGGGATAAATGGGGTGCTGGGGGAGGCAGGCAGGGGGGTGCTGAAGCTGCTGGTCCGGCTGAAGATCCAGGCAGCAAACACTGAGCCGGGATTGCAGGGGGGAAGCAGCCGGAGCATCACCGCCCTCCCAGCTCACCCTTAGCGAGCCTCGCATCCCATCCCAGTGCCACAGCACCCACCCGCTGCCGAGCCAGGAAGAAATCACCTAATCCTACTTCTCTGCCACGCATCAGGTTGGACACGCGCTCGGCGGATAAACACCAGCCCTGTTTATCTCTCAAGGTCTGGCAGCGAGCCTGGCGCCGGGCAGAACTGCTAGTTTCTGTTTCGGTAAGCTGCGAGACTCGGCGGCGGGGTCCCATGGCAGCGCTGGCTCTTCCTCCGCCATGATTTGGGTCACTGTGCCACGCCGTCGGCTCCCCGCACCGAGCGCCAAATCACCCCGACTCATCTCTGTGCCTTCGTTTCCAAACCTTTACTTGCAGCCCTCCCGTGCAGGCTGGCAGCCCTTACTTAAAGCATGAATTATAGCCCTGCCACGGCTCTGCCTGGCCTCTTATCTATAAATTGTCCAAACCTACAGCATCTGCTGGGACCGCCGCGGTCCTGCTCAGGCACCATCACCCACAAGCTGCGTCCTGCGGGTACCTGGCCCAAAGCCCCAGCAGAGCGGCTGGACGCAACCGCAGCACAAGCGCTAAGGAAGAGCATCCCTGAGCCGGAGCGGGGCTGGGGCCAGCGGAGAGGCAGGGTGTCCCCACCCTCTGACTGTAACAAGGTCATGGTCATCGGAAGAAAAACATTTCTGCAGCCCAGCTGCTGCACAGGGTTCAACAGCTCTTTCTTTGCTCTGGTTCTACCACAAAAAAAACCCTGGGGCCGCAGCAGAGGTTTTGATGCTACCTGACTGCCGACTGATGCAGAGAAAATGCTTTGCACTGAAATGAAATAACTTGGGAAACAATAAAAATATAGGAGAGCACCTATAAACAATAAAAAGGCGGGGGGGAGGGGGACGCTGCATCTCCTGCCCAAGGGATGCTCCGCTGATCCCAGCGAGGCAACGGAGGCCACGCAGCGGGGAGACCCGCGCTGCCCCGAGCGCGGCTCCGCGGGACCCTGTGCCGGGCTGCAGGAGAGGAAACCCCTGCACTTTTAGGGGAGCAAACATCCCTCTTGTGCCAGCCTGGGGAGACTGCTTGTGCTTGCCCAAAGCACGATGCCAAGAGGGAGCCTTCCCCCTCGGCTTCACCTGGGAGGTAGCTCCAGCTGGAGCTAAGCCGGACCCCAGGGCAGAGGCACATGCGCCGGCTGCCGCAGGCTCAGCTTGCCACGGTAACTCCGTGCAGGGTCCGGCAAGGTGGAGGCTGGCAGCAGGCAGGGCAGCAGGCAGGGCAGCAGGCAGGGCAGCAGGCAGGGCCGGAGAGGGACCCCAGGTCATGCTCAGCCTCCAAGAGCCTTGCAGCTCCCTTGGAGCTGGCGGGGGTGAGCAGCACGCTCCTGGCGGAACCAGGACTTATTTTGGGGCTAACATCTGCGGCTTTGTGAACGCTTTGGTTTCCCTCCGATAGCAGCTTCACCTTCCTTCCTCTGGAAGCCTCCTCCTCAGGACGAGCCCTCCTGGGAAAGGCACTCAAGTCCGGGATTTATGCGACATCTGTGCAATGCTGTCACTGGTGAAAACTCCAAAATGCCTCAGTAACACAGGCGAGAGAGGATGAAATCGGATCGCTGGCACGCGGCTCCACGGAGCGGGAGCCGAGCTTCCCGGGCCCGGCACATCCACAGCCGCAGAGCCCAGAGGACACGCGGTCCTGCAGCAGCAACGACACCGTCCTGCTCGGTTAAACGCCTTAAGAACTACCTATAAAAACCATACAGGACAGCTGGGCTGTTACTGGTATTCATGCCTAGGCAGGGCATCCCAGTTTGAAAAAGCTAAGAGGGAATGTTCCACCTTTAAAGGGTCAATTCCCTTGCTGTTTATTTTTTTAAGAAAGCCTTTGATTTTGAGCAAGCTGCCCGAACAGGCTGCGGGCCCGGAGCGGCGAGGGAAGAGGAAGGGGAAGCGCAAACCCCTCAAAGTCTCTGCGCGGCACTGGCGCCGAATTAAAGCCTTTTTCTCTCTACAACCATCCTATACCAGCAAAGGAAGGAAAGAAAGGAAAAAGCTACAGGAGCTTTTGCAGTCCAAGGCCAGGCGGAAGAAAGATGCGGGGCACAAGGAAGCGTGTGGAGGAAGCTATCTTATGCAGCGTACGATAGCTGTCCTGCTGATAACAGAACTCTGATGTCAACGGGGCAAAATTCAAGTGCCTGAAAGAAGGTGGGAGCTGATCAAGAGCGGTATTTACCAGCAAGCCACAGACCACGACCTGCAAGCTGAATTTTGTACATTTTAAGAAAAACAACATTCTTTGCGCTGGTCCTGAGAAGGCCAGCGTGGTGTTTAGGGCCGCTTGCATCCCGCTGAGGGGGGAAACAAGTCGCTCTTGCAGGCGGAGCGCCCGGTTTACTGCGTGCCCAGCCCCGCACCCGCTCGCGGCCCCGTCGGGGCGAGTACCTGCCTCTCTCCCCATAGCACCCACCCGCAGCAGGGACCGGCACGGGGACAGGCGCACCCGCTGCCCAGCACTGGTCCAGCCTCGCCGCAAACCACACCGAACCAAACCACACCACCGCCTCGCTGATGGCATCTCCTCCGTGCTCGGGAAGACGCTTTGGGTCAGGGCCGGGCCGCGCCACGTCCGAGCGTCGTCCCCCGGCGCATGCCTCGCGGGGCTGCGCCGACGCCAGGGAAAACCACGTTTCCCTGGAAATGGCGAGTCGAAGCACGGTCCTGGCAGAGAAACGCTCATCGCGCCTCCGTGGCCAAGTCCTGCTGCTCCGCACCCCTCTGCCATCCCGGCCCACCGGGAGGAAGGCGGCCTTTTTGTCAGGTCTCGCCTTGATTAATTATTGACAGGAGATTAGGCAACGCGCTACGCTGGAGCGAGCCAAGTGCCCCTCGATCGGAGCAAGCGAGGTGGGTCAGAGCGCCGGGACAGCCCCTCGCGGGGATGGGGACCCGCCAGCGGCACGCCCGGGGGACCGCGGCCCCGCGCCCCGGTTATCGGCCCCGGCCGAGCGCTGGCCCCGGCCACCCGAGGAGTTTTTCCTCTCGGCTGCGAGCGCTCGGAGCAGCGGTGCGAGCACAGCACGGCGTCCCCCAGCACCCTGCGAGCAACCGGCGCGGCCGGGCTGGATGGAGGGGTTTGGCACTGGTGGAAGGGGAGTCACACCGCGGGTGCCACCCCGTCGCCTGCAGCCGCTTTCCCTCCTGGCTGCACCGGGGCCGCGGCCCCTTCCTTCCTGGGCAAAAACCAACCTCAGAAGTTCCCGGGGCCCCTCTTTTCCCCAGCCTTTTCCAACAAAACGCTTCGCTCCGCATCCCGCCCGGAGAGCTGGCGCAGCCCTGCCAGCCTGGCTGTGGCGAAGCG